AAAGCCTGAAGCGGAAAACCCTTATTCTTGGTGTGATAAGTGAGCCCAGATCTTGTCAGCCTGAAGGGAAAGCATTTTGTCAAGTCATGGAAAAGGGGCTTGAGACTGCAGGTGCCTGTGTTGCCTTTTTTTGACTCATTGCTGGTATTTTCACTCATGAATAAGGTGGGAGTCTGTGATAAATATATTTATTTTCCTGGTATTTTGTGTGTTGCGTTGCTGCATGTGTTTGGTGGCCCTGACTACTGTGGCATGAGCTGCCAGAGCGTTTGCAAGGTGGCCTCTCACCTGTCCTGGTTACAGCTCCTGACACAACAGGGCAGAATATAAACCTTCTACTGGCCTCGAAAATCTGAAGAAAATACAGATGTTTGATGATGGAGGAGCCCAAATGTATTCATCTGGCTCTGGATCCAGGCACGATGCTGAATACGTGTTTCTAGCAGAGATGGGTTCTGCAAGCTAAAGAAATTCTCAGATTTGATGAAAAGGGGGAAAGAGTACCTTGGGCAATGGGTAACTCAATGCCAATCAGGTCAGCAAAGTCTCGGAGACCCTGCTCGTGGTGCAGTGGGAATGCTGAGGGATGAGGCTGATGAAAGCAAGTCCCAGACTCGTGTGATGCTGTCCGAAGGATGCCGTGGTGCTCCGGTCTCTCTGAGCAGACATGGTGGGAATAAGAAGTCATTTAACAGCACAGCAAGGTCGAGTAAATAGCTGCGATTGGAAAAGGGAAAAAGGGAATGTTTTGGCCAAATATTCATTAGGATTTGAAAACGCATTTCAATTTGACCTTGTTCTCCTGTTGCAAACATTGGAGTTACCAGGCATTACACAGTGTCAGTGCTTGAGTGAGGCAAATGTTAAGCTTGGATGCTGGGTGGGTGGCAGTTTGGGAAGGCATCACCTCGTTTGGAATGGTTGGAATTTGGAGTGCGTGTCACTTACGGAGGTCGCTGGTGTGATAGAAGGGGTGCAGATAACCCGCGCATGGAATCAGGTGCCCTGGTGACCCAGAGCACCTTGTGAAGTGGTGATGGGTAGTGGAGAAGGCAAATGGACATGAATCCAGAGGACATCATGACCTGTGAATGATGCTTCTACTGGCTGAGCCTAGGGCATCTCCCCTTTTACTTAATGTGGAAGCAGAAAGGTGTGGAAAGGGATGGAGCAATGGTGGAGCAGTGTCAGGAGAGAGCTGGAACCTCGAGTGGACACTGAGCTGGTTGTTCCACTCTCTGGCTTTTAGAGCTAAACCCAGTCTTTGTAAAAAGGAGTAATGTGAGAGGCTGCTTGGAAGTTAGCAGGGAAGGGAATGGAGCTGCTGCAGGCAGCAGGTAGAGCCAATACAGCCCTTTCCTTAGGGACAATGAGAGCAAACTCTTGCCCTAATCAGCTCTGCAGCTTCCCAGATAAGGGACAAAAGTGGATGGGCTTCCTCCTTCCCTGAGTCACTTCCAGACGCAGCTGATTTTTTTTAATTTCTTTTGTTTTGGTCACCATCCATTTTCCACCAAGTCACATCATGAGAAATGGTGAGAAAAACGGGGAATGCGTGTTTGTAGGAGCGAAAGGATCTGCGCTTTATTTATTTATTTATTTCCCACAACTTTTGAATTATTAAAGCGCGTTCAGCAGAGATTAACTCTCCCTGCTCAATATTTATTATTGTTTCATTTCCCTGGAAGTTGGAGCTACAAGAGCTTTGATAAATGGGCTAGAAGGTTCTGTAGTTTCTCCACGGCTAATCTAAGTACGTCTGTGTCCTCTGCTGTAAAGCTAATTTGTAATTTCCTATGGTAATGCCGCTTAGCGAATTGTAACGACACACCGGGGTCTACTTCTCCTCCCGCTCCTCTGCCGGGGGAGCAGCGCTGCCATCGGAAAACGGTGTGAAACCTGGAAACTGG